TCCTTCCCTCCCACACCTATGCCCTGCTAAGTCTCCAGTAGATGCTCAGGAGATAAGAGGGAGGGGAGACTCCAGGGACCCAACTAACATTTATTCACCGGTAGGCATGCTTGCAGGTCACAGGCACACGTGGAGGTCAGAGGTCCGCCAGTAGGACGAGCTCTCCTTCCACTGTGTGGATGGTTGGGACTGAACCCAGGTCATCAGGTTTGGTGACAAGTGCTCTCCTTTGCTGAGCCATCGCACTGGTCTCAGAGTCACAGATGACAGTGTTGGAAGAGCAGTGCTAAACTATCCAGCTTTGGGGTAATCACACTGGGAAAAAAAGCAGTAAAGGAGGAGAGAGAGGATTGCAGCAGAGGGCGTGTGGTATCCTGAGCACCATAAAAATATATGTTAAAAATAAATAAATAAAAATCTAACAAAGCAAAAGCAATTTCCATAATTCTATTTAGCCTAATATATCTGTAACAGTATTATTTCTACATGGAAGCAATATTTTAACTTTATTTATAATGTGTTAATGCTAGCCTTTGGGAAGCCATCATCAGGGGGGTCATAGGTTCAAGTCCAGCCTGGGCTAACAGTAAAAAACCTAACTCAGAAAAAATTGATATGTTTTGAAATCCTTTTCTCATACAAGTCCTTGAAACCCATACTTGGACTTGGACTCTTCCAGAACCTCTTAGCCACGGTGAAAGAAACCCAACCAACATACCGTGAACGACTGTCATCTTGGTTATTGTGACTCACCTCCATCTGATGTGACTGATTAAGGCAAAACCACAATTCTCACCCCAAAGGCAGTAAGAGAGTTTCCCCAAATTCTGTCTTCTGTCCTGAAAGTGACTGCATGAGATTTTATTAGCTACAGAGCAAAAGAATCTGAAAGTGTTTACCGGAGTTATTAGTGGGTGCACGGGTGGGTGGTCACAGTTTTACCCGGGAGATTCTGCCGTAACATCCGATGACATCTTTAGCTTTGGGATTGGTGGGACGAGTAGTGGCTAAGAATGTGTTTTAGAGTTTTAACAGTCATGAGGACCCTGGGCCCAACGAAGGGGCAAACAAATGGCAACTTTCAAAGGCACTGAGGTTAGCCAGCTATGTCTGCCTCCGATCTGTAACAGTCTAACGTGGTCTAACTCTTCGTATTCTCCAAGTTCAGTCCTTCAGCCTAGCGTCGGCTTTAACACCCACGAGGCTTTTCTCTCTTTCTTCCCACCCCGCCCCCTTCTTTCTGGGAATTTCAGATACCTGCATTTCCACTTGAGGTTCACAACACTGAGCGTGCTCCCCTGATTCTCCTGACCTCTGTGCCTCTTTTCTCGGTGAAAGAGCAAGGCTCCCAGTGGCTCTTCTTCATCCCGGTCTAGAAACAGAAAGTGCTCAGATTGGAAAACCACAAGAAACCAGCACATGTGATACCCAGAGCAGCTTACGCTCATCCTGTGTATGCATGAAGAGAGCCCCTTGGCATGACCGCGGGCAGCTTAGGGCTGAAATGTGAGAATGGAGTGGGGTGCATGCTTTGGGGAAAGACGGGGTGCCATTGTGTCTGAAATCGGCATCTGGGCCGGGTCCAGCCCTGGCTGTTAAACTCCCTGGAGTCTCCCCCTTTACATTAAGGCCTTATTGATAACTTAGCTGAGCAGAAAATACTTCACAAAACAAGAAGAGTGGCAAGGGGCATTCACATCTGTGACCCTCACCCATTGTCAAAGCAAGGGTGAGAAAGGCTCTTTCCTACGGTGGCTGTAAGGATCACATCCAATCCATGGAGAGGACTTGACACCCTTCCTAGCCAAGAACCCCCACTGTCCCCATCCTTCCCACTGTAGAAATGAGGTTTAGGGTGGGGGCTGCTTGCACAAAGTCACACAACAAGGGGGTGACATCAGACACGCCCTGTTTGGGCTGCTTCCTTCTCCCAGGCAGTCATCACCGACAGTCAGCCTCTTATTCCCGCACAGCAAGGTAAAGGGAATAAATACACCCAGAATGAGTGAGACACTCAACAAAGGCTCACGGCCAAGTGTGGTTTCCATGGTGCGTACCGTGTGTGCCTGTGTGTGAGTGTGTATGTGTGTGTGTTTGTGCGCACGTGCGTGAGCGCCTATGTATGAGAGAGAAACAGAGACTTGGCAGACTCTTCAGCCTAGCTTCTATCTCCCTCCCTGTCTCCCTGTAGATGATGCTCCCAAAGGGACCATGTAAGAGTCCTCGGTGCCATCTGCAGGGAAGGGTGTCCATCAAGATGACGCAAAGGACTGTGATTGATGGGGAAAATAAAACAAATCATCCTGATTAAAATCCAGGGAGTCCAACTCATCATGTTATATAATAATAACCAGAGACAGGGTTTTCTGAGTATCAGTCCTCTCTGTGGCATGACTGTCCCTGTGTTTCTGAGCCTGTTGAATTCTCCAAGTTAATCAGTAAGGTGGCTGCTACTAAGAAACCATTCTACAGATAAGGGAGATGAGGCTCAGGACAAATAAGGAGCCCTCTCAGAAACACAGACAGAGCCAGGAAACAGAGACTCGGGGGACCCGAATGTTTGCAGGTGAACTTGTCCCTGCCTTTTAGGTAGGAAAAAAAGCCAGGACACTGTGGGGTCAAGACTGTGGCATGCACTGGGAGTAGCAGCTCAAGCCTGTAATCCCAACTACTGAGGCAGGAGGATGACAAGGTCAAGGCCTGCCTGAACTATAGAGTCTCTGGAAAACTTCAGCAGACCCTGTCTCAAAATAAGAATTACCAAGGCAGGGAATATAGGATAGTATACACGGTGGCCTGGATTCCATTCCCAGTACCACCGGAAGAAAGGGAGGGAGGAAGGAAGGGGAGGATGCCTAGTTTCCCAGACACCTGCCAAGAGCCCCACCTGTTTCTAGATGATAGCAGAGACTGAGGCCAAGCTGAGCATGGCTGAAGGTGGGAAGTCCTGTGAGCAGCTTTATTTCTGAATTTTTTTTCCTTTTAATCAAGGCACACCAAAGGCCAAGCCTATGCTCTGTCCTTTACTAAAGTCTGGCCTAAGCCAGCATTTATAATAAATGAACTTGAGATCTTTGCCTTTCCTTCCAGACACTTCTTCCATTAAAGAATGGAGCCAGAGCCAAATGTGGATGCCAGAGAAAGCTCTAGAGCCCCAGATGTCTCCCCCTTTGGCTGTGGTTGGGTCCCCAGAAGATGGGACCCTTATGTGCACTACAGAAGCGAGAGAGCAAACTGTCCTAGACAAGGAAGAGAATGACGATTCTGGGTACTTTTCCTACACACCAGAGCCTAGGCTGCGAAACGCTACAATCGACACAAGGGCCACACGCAGCCAAGAAATGCCACAGCACGAGAATGGTGCATGATACACAGAGAGAAACACACAACACAGAGCCACGCCAGATGGAGAAAGCTGCCCGGGCTGGGCCAGGGATTCGTTACTCCTCCACCCACACAGAGCGACTGGTAGGGTTATGTAATACAAGCTGCAAAAACACTAACCAGCCTCCTTCAAGGGGCCCTGGGTGGAGGGGCACCTCCACTGAAAGTCAGGGGGACCTCTGCAGTCAACTCCTGCTCTTAGAGGCAGTGGGCACTTGTGCCAGCGGACTCAGCCCCAGGGTGGCCCTGGGAAGTAGCTGGAAGGGAAAGGAGGTGACGTTTTGGTTTGTTAGTCATGACCAGCAGCTGGGTGTTTCTCTTTGTGCGAAGGCATGGTGAGAATGTGTAAAGAGAGAGCTGGGGACATAGGTAGGACTGGGGCTTGGAGGGGAGGAGAGAAATGGATGCAAAGATTGGCTTGTCCTCTCCCCACCCCCACCCCACCCCACCCACCACCTGGCACAACCCACAGCTTTCCACACACCCAACTCCCTGCACTTGCCTGATCTGAGCTACCACCGTACCACAGCTTGGCCCCTGATTGCCTTTGGCACCCTGAACACACCCCAAGACCTTCCGCTGGGACAACTGGTGCTTTGAAAGCTGACAGCATTTTAGGGAAGTAAACACGGAGCTGTGAGACTGACTATACATCGGGTGTGGTTAGCAGGTGAGTCTCAAAGTTCAGGCTTGCAAGGGAAGCTGCTCCATCCCTCCGCCATACCTTGTGTGTGACCTAGGACAAGACACTGAGCTGTCTCTCAAGTTGGGGCTGCAGGCCCTGGGATAGTTCTGTAAACATCAAAGGAGGGAAAATAACTGTCGAGAATGGATGTATTCAGAAACTTCCCTGTTATTCTTCACTTTGCTTTTTCCTCTTCCATCAGTGAATATCAATTGAGCGTGTCATGTGCTGTTGCTAAGCCCAGAGGGTCACGCTGGGGTTTTTCATGTGGTGTGTGGGGAACAAATGTATTCCAGAGTTTTGTGTGGACCTATCTCTTTGTGTTCAAAGTGTTTGTAACATGGCAAAGTATCTGCTTTTAAAATTGAAAGGAGCCAATGAGGAGGGACATGGCCGTGAGGTTAGCTGGACTCCTCCATCCGTGGGACCACCTAAGGCAGCGTCTCTGTCTGTACAGTAGGTTTTGTTCTTGGTGATGATGGAGGTGGAGGTTAGTGGAAAGGTTCCAGATTCGGGAGCCCAAAGGTTGGTGCCAGAGGAGCTTCTGAGCTGTGGACGGAATGTGTTTGCCAAACCAGGGCACTGAGGACAGTGTGACTAGTCAGAGCAGTGACCTCCCATGCTGGGAGAGAGAAAAGGTTTAAAATTATTACCCTTGGGTCTCTGGGACTGCCTGAGCATCATGGCTATGGTGTCCCCAGGGAGGCCCTCTGGTCCTCAAGGGTTTTAATCACTGGGTAAAGCCAGGTAGCTGCTTCAAACTGGAGAAGGTGAGTATCCAGTTAAGGAAGACCAACCATGCCTTGGGTTCAGCTTCAGCACCCTGGGCATCTGTGATTCAGTGTTTTCCATCCTAACTCCAAGGTGCTGGGTGCCCTGCACAGCTCTCTCCCTTCCCCTTCTCATCCGCTCTCTTCTTCCTTCTCCTCAGCTCCAGGAACCCTACATCAATTTTCATTTGACAAGCTGGTGACCAAGATGCCCAGAGATTAGTCCCCATGCGTGTGCGTCACCTTAGACACAGTCATAAGACACAGCAAGCCTCCAGTCTTCCTGACCTGTTGCTTGGGGACACGTCCCTTCCCTGCTCCTGACATCTGCCTGGTCAACCTTGGCTTCCTCAGAGAACAAGGAAGGAGGTGGGACACATGAAACCATGCCACCCAAGGCCGAATGGCAATGAGCAAGTGACGCCAAGTTGACGTCAAAGACAGAAGCGGCTGAAATTCTGCAACCAGCTCTTTTCCCGGAGTAGCTCGGGGCCCCTGCAAGAGTCATCTTAGCTTAGAGGTCTTCCAAAGGACACAGACACCATGGAAGAGCACACATTTGGAGTTCAGCAGATCCAACCCAATGTCATTTCTGTCCGTCTCTTCAAACGCAAAGTCGGGGGTCTGGGCTTCTTGGTGAAGGAACGGGTCAGCAAGCCCCCCGTGATCATCTCCGACCTAATTCGAGGAGGTGCCGCGGAACAGAGCGGCCTTATCCAAGCGGGAGACATCATTCTAGCCGTCAATGGCCGGCCCCTGGTGGACCTCAGCTATGAGAGTGCCCTGGAGGTACTCAGGGGCATTGCCTCTGAGACCCATGTGGTCCTCATTCTGAGGGGCCCCGAGGGCTTCACTACACACCTGGAGACCACCTTCACAGGAGACGGAACCCCCAAGACCATCCGGGTGACCCAGCCCTTGGGTCCCCCCACCAAAGCTGTTGATCTGTCCCACCAACCATCAGGCGGCAAAGGCCAGCCATTAGCAGTAGGCAGGACCATGGGTCCTGGTAATGGGCCTCAGCATGCCCATGGCAATGGACAGGAAGCTGGCTTAGTCTCCCAAGCTAATGGTCTGGCCATTGACCCTACAATAAAAAGTACCAAGGCCAATCTCCAGGACAGCCGGGAACATGACGAACTACTCAAAGAGATAGAACCTGTACTGAGCCTCCTCAACAGTGGAGGCAAAGCAATCAGCAGAGGTGGACCAGCCAAAGCAGAAATGAAGGACACAGGTGTCCAGGTGGACAGGTAAGCTACGGGTGTGCAAGTGTGTGCTTGTGTGTAGGTGTGCATGTAGCGGCTCCACTGACAACCCAGGAGCCAGCCTGCCCAGTCACATGTCTTGACTGCCCTATCTTTCCCTGGAAATTTCAGTCACGCAAGGTGAGTGGGCCTCCATTTGAAGACGCAACTCTTGCCATGAAGCCCGCGGTCATTAATAACTATGGTCCAGGGCATTGTGTCTTCAAGTGTTTGTCCCATGCATGCTCCCAAAGTCCTACAATGTGGATGTGGGAAAGATGTGTCGAGAGTGGGGTTCGGAGAGATGGAGATGGCTTTGCTAATATTGACCAGGGACTTAGAGGCATGTGCACACATGTCTCGCTGAGCACATAGCTCTTGCCAGGGTCTTGGGAAAGCGAGTAGGGAAGAGAAGAAATCTACACCCCATGCTACTTCCTCCTCTCTGCAGCCAACTGAGGACAAGGGAGCCTCCGAGGAGAGGAAAAAACAGGAGAATTAGTTCCAAAACCCCTAAACGACAGTCTTCCAGTCTTGAACCCTGGGGGTAGACCCTGAAGTACTGGGAATGGCCCCTCTTGTTCACCAAACTGCTACTTTCAGAGTCTCTGGTGGAAGGGATCCTGGCAGAACTAGAGATGTTGCCAGCTTCTTCCGAGGGAGGAAAGAGCAGCTGGCCCTGGCAGTCAGAGAGTTGTGTGTCCCACAATGAGGGAATTCCCTCTGCCTCTTACACCATCAAACCTAGTAGCCCTGTGCCATGCTGCCAAGATGGGGATAGAGCCACCCAGAATCCAAGCCCTGCGTGCGTTGGTGACACTCACTGAAGCTGTGCCGTGCACCAGGGCTCCAGAGCTGTATCTGCTGTGCTCATGACACAAGCCGGTCCTAGACATCAAACCCTATTCCTCAACAGCAGAGAAGTTCAGAGAGTTTTAAATGAGACTCTGCCGCTGTGGCGGAGCCCCTGGCCGATGGCGGCTGACCCTTGGCTCGATCCATGTTTTGTACCTTTGACTGGTTTGCAGCGGGGCCTGAGGCTGTGGCTAGAAGGACCCCTGGGGTTCTATTTCAGTACACTTGCACTCCTAAACCCCATATGATGTGGGTTCTCCCCGAGAAGACCCACAGTGGATGCTGGGTACTCCTTGCCATGTGACTAATTTGACCCTGTCTCTCAGGTGACACAGAAGACACAAAGGGGCCACATAGAATATAAGGTACAGCACTAGTGGGTGCTGGTGTAGTTACAGAGCAAACGGTGATTGTCAAAGGATCTCCACGCTCCATTCCACAGAAAGCAGTGCCTGTCTTTCTGCCTCTGAGGAGGCACAGGCAGCGTGGCATAGCGCACTACCTCTGGGCCCATTTTTCTGACTTGGGAGTGGCTCCATACAATCTCTCTCCCATTGTAGTCCTCCCTCCAGCCACCAGATCCAAAAGTCATAGATAAGCTGAGGTTTGAGGGAAAGCCACCCAGGAAGGCTCAGAATCCCGGGAAGCCACTCAGAGGAAACAACTGTAAGGAATGGGTGACATTTTTTAGTGGCATCTGTCCCCCTAGCTTGGTGGCTCATACTCATGCCACATTCAAGATTACCTTACTAGTCAGAAAACTAGCATGTGGTTGATATAGCCTGCCCCATTTGACATTTTCAGACACTTCATGTCCTAACTGTGATATAAGGACAATGTCAATCTCCTAAAGAGGGGGCCAGCAATCAAGAGTATTGGTGCAAACACGGGACCTTGTTGGAGGAGGGCCGGCTTGTTCATCCCGGCTGCCCAGCTAGCTTCGCCCCAAAATAATCACACAGAAATTGTATTAATTTAATCACTGCTTGGCCCATTAGCTCTAGTTTCTTTTTTTTTTTTTTTTTTTTTTTTAAAATATTTATTTATTTATTATGTATACAATATTCTGTCTGTGTCTGTACATCTGCAGGCCAGAAGAGGGCACCAGATCTCATTACAGATGGCCATGAGCCACCATGTGGTTGCTGGGAATTGAACTCAGGACCTTTGGAAGAGCAGGCAATGCTCTTAACCACTGAGCCATCTCTCCAGCCCCTAGCTCTAGTTTCTTATTGGCTAATTCTTACATCTTAATTTAACCCATTTCTATTAATCTGTGTATCACCACATTGCAGTGGCTTACCGGCTAAGTTTCAGCATGTCTACCTCTGGCAGCGGGTCCATGGTGTCTCTCCACCATGTCTTCTTTTTCCCAGCATTCAGTATTATAATCAAATGTCTCCGTGTTCATTGTATTCAGGATCCATTCATCCATAGGTGCTGATCTAACCTTTAAAGGCCCAAGTATCTTTTTGCATTCTAAGTTGGCATTTTCAAAAGCCAGAGATTTAATAAGTACTCATCTAGCATCTGGGTCTGTTACTCCTATTTGTACAGCTTTAGTTAATCTTTGTAAAAAGTCAGTAAAGGATTCTCTCTGGCCCTGTTTAACCCTGGTATATGATTCAATTATTTTTCATAGTTCTTGAGTCCTGTCCCAAGCATTTAAGGCTGCTTTATGGCGTAGGAACCAACCTCAGCCAGCAGGTCAAGGGTGTGTGCCTGGACACGAAACTGTTGCACATACAGGAGCATCAGGTATAGAAGGACATAGGTGTGTCATCTTGGCATCTCAAGTGCCACAGCAGTGTCACAATCTGTGATGTCGTTTCTGAAATGAACCATTCTCAAGGAGATGACAGGTCAGGCTGGCTTCACTTGGTACTCCCAATTTCTGCGGCCTCACACAAGGGAGATCAAATCTATCGGTATCATAAGACAGAGTCCAGGAACTTCTGCCTGCTTCTATCTACACAGAAGGTCCTGTGGTTATGGAGACCCTTTGTCCCTACGTGAGACTTATCCTTGGTGTTTCATGTCCTCTGTCCCATATGGTTCCACCTCCACAATGCAAGGAGCACCCCTGAACCCGGAGATCAACAGCCCAGAATGTCCACAAGCCCACTGCCACTCAGCCTCCTGGAGACTGGAATCCAATGCCAGAGTCAATGTCATACATTAGGACCCAGAGCCCAGAGTGCATTTTCCCAGGGGTCAGTTTCGCATTGGCATCCCTGAGACCATCAGGGAGGGGCCCTTGGTGCTCACAGCTGTGGGGAATATCTTGTGACTCTCAGTGACCTCCCTGACCAGATGATGTTTGATTGGCACTGGCAACTTGGAGACTGGATGAATGGTTGCCATACTGAGCTACTTAGGAGACAGCGGGGTACTGTATCCAGATCCAACATCCAGGGCACGCTCAGCAGCCAATGACTGCTCAGGTCACCGGGAGCAACAGCCACTTGCTAGTTTAGGATGCTGCCTGACTCATCTCTGTGGCCCTTCATCCCTCCTATGTGTGGACTCGGCTGTCTGCCCATCACTGGGACTTAGGGGGACCAAATGTGATGATACATTACTCTAAAATGGCAGCAGAATCCCCTTACAACCAGGAGACAGGTGGCCCCAAGAGCCTGTAAACCCAGGCCTCTGGTCCATTCTGTATTTGAGAGTGGTCACTTTAAAAAGTGTCAGAGGATGTCAAGGTTGCTCAGCTTGCTGCCCTGAGGCAGGGTTCTAAGGAGGCCAAGGTCCCTGGTGCAGCATCCATCTGGAACAGCCGGTCATCCTGGCCCTATGATCAGGAAACTAACCAGCCCCCCATTCACTTTTGCAAGGCACTAGGGCAGCCCCTCAGCACCTCTTCAGAGGTCATGTAAATGTTACTGTAGATGTAGGACACTGGCTTCCGCCCACCTTTCTAAATGAGCAAACTGAGGCCCAGAGAGCTGAAGCCACTTAGCCAGGGTCACAAAGTCCTGCCTGTAACCTACAGCAAGTGTCTGGCATTAAAGGGCCAAAATAAGCAGCTGTGGGGGGGGGGGCAATATGCCGGGCACCTGCTCTGTGGCGAGCCCGAGTCAGGGAATTGTGCTATATACCCATCTCTGCCAACCACTCCCAGGGAGGCTGGCCCCAGGCTGCCGTCTGCATGCCAGTCCCACTTCTGCGATGAATAAAGCAGGGATCAAAGAGGCTCTGTCATTTATCCCAGGTCAGTTAACAAACAAACCAAATTCAGGCCCGAGGCTGTGCTCTTGACCTCTGTGGCCTCATAGATGGCCCTGTTGCCCTCAGTGTGCTACTGGCCCCCTGGGTGTCTGAAGCCATCAGAATATTTCAACTGACTCTGGAAGGGAAACTGAGACCTTGCAGTTCCTCTGGCTTAGGGCAAGGTGACCATGACTTGTCTTCCTTCAAGATGAGAAGCAGGGCCTCCCCCAAATTACAGAAGAGCCTCTCTGATGGGTTTTGCAGGTTTCCCAGCCTTCTAGCCATCATGGTGGAGGAACCAGGATCCCAGGTTCATTCTTTTTGTAGCAGGGCCAGGCGACTAGCCTGTTTCTGTGGAGCTAATTAGTGTTTGCTCACCATAATGGTGCCCAAGAAGAGGCTGGGAAGATAGCTCAGAGGGTAAGTGCTTGCTGCAGATATGAGGACCTGATCTCAGATCTCAGGTAACCACATAAAAAGTGCTAGAGAGACGGAGACAGCCAGACCCCTGCAGTTTGCTGATCAGTCCTGCTTAGCTGGAGAGTTCAACCAGAGGGGGAGACCCTGTCTCAACAAAGAAGATCGACAGTGAGCTTCACACACACACACATGTTCACACACACATGCACACACGTGACCTCAGTGACCCTCAGCGGGGCTGGCTCCAGGCTGCCTGAGTTGGCACACACTGCACACAGAGCTCTAAATGGAACTGCGGAAGCTCTCCCACAAAACTTCCACGCCACAAGCCAGAGCGACTTCCGTTCTCTCCCTCATCAGACACGCATGTCTTCCCCAATCTGTTCTCCCCTGCCTCGTCCCCTTTCTGTCTTGTCACTTGGACACTCAGCCCTTCATCCTGAACGAGCTATGGAAGAACTCACTTGTCTACCTCCCCCAAATTGACCTGTCCCCAGCGGGCTTCTCACTGCCTT